CACACACACACACAGTCACAAACACACACTCAGGGGTAACTGGGTTGTTCACTGCTTTTAAACTACATCTTGGATCCAGTCGAAATTCCTTTCTCCTCATCTCATTTCCTGTTGTAGCTTTCTCCAAAGCTAACCGCTCTCCAGTTTTCTATCTGACTGACTTCTCTCTCTCTCCGTCTCTCTTTCTGCAGTCTTCCTCCTCTCTCACCCTTGATTGAGTACACTGCTTGTATTTTTCTCACTAACACCCCCCCCCCCCCCCCCCCCCCCCCCCTTTCCTTAAAGCCTGTGTTTCCCAGGCCTGCTAGTTGAGCACACAGCCACTGAAAGCATTCACGCCTGTGTATCCTCGAATGTGTTCATGTCAGAGGAGATTAGAATAACGATTGGAGCGGCGCGTCTGTAACTGTACACACGAGCGTGGCCGACTGAAACCAGTCAACAGAGGAGGAAGAGGAACAAAGCCACACATTCACCGCATCCATTACATTGCTTCAATCACTTGAGCTTCCTCATTTCTGCCGTCTTTGCCCCCTTTTTCTTCACTTTCCTCCGCAGGAATGAGGCAGGGAGTCGACCTTTTTTGATGTGTCATTGTGCTCCCGTTCACTCTCGCCCTCTTTGGGGTGTTCCTGTCATCATTATTTCCCCGCAGCTCTGCTCAACGCCCCCATGTTTTGTGTGCACACCACTGCGGTGCTTGCACACACACACACGTGCCAAGAGTGTGTCTTTGCACTGGGTGTTTTTGCTCAGATACTAGGGCAAGATATTCTCCAAGGGCAGCTGCAGTGATGCTTGATGAAAAGCGAAAGCTGCTGTTGTTGTTGTTTTTTATTTTCTGCCTTTTTTTTTAATCTTGAGGAGAGAAAACACGCCCCCCCCTTCTGAAGAAAGTAAAAGAAAGAGAGAGATGAAAAAAAAGGGGAAGCAACCAGAAATAGAGAAAAGTGAAATCAGGTTAAAGCTAATTTTGAAAAGGAAAACAAAAGTGACAATGCAACACAAGCCCCACATACATGAAAAGCCAAGTAAGGGGGGTTCAGACAGAAAAGAAAAGAAGAAAATGACAACTCAAGAACCAGGATTAAAAGAAAGCAACAGAGAAACACAGCCGTGCTGAGACAGAGGATTACACATTCTGGTTTTATAATGACGTGTTGAATGGCAGACTCACTCTCCATCAACAAACAAAAATATGCAAAACTTGTATACTTCTCCGTCACTGTTGTGATAACCTTCCCTTGAACCGACAAACTGCTGCTTATCAACTCATCCAGAAAGACAACTGTCCAGTACTTCCTTCTGCCCTGAACAGGAAGCTGCAAGATGTCACTCTGTATCTGTAACCGTGGTAACAACGAGGCCGACGCTGCTTATGATACATCACTGGTGGTTTTGAGAATTTTAGCCTAATAATTACAGATTGCATCGTTAGTCAAAATGATGTTGTCAGAAGCAGAGTTTCCAGGTGATGCGTTCACATGCTCACACAGTGTTGAGCAACAATTTGAAATTACATTACAGACAGTAATCTCATTCACGCTCCTTGTTATTGACATTTTGTTGACTTTTTCGCCATCTTACCCGGAGTTAGATGGAGTGTTGATATTAATTTATTACCAGCCACACAGGACTGGTATTGTTTTCACCCTGTGAGTGTGTGTGTGTGTCATCATGGTAAATGTGGCCCTGGAGACACCTATGGTAACAGAAGCTTTGGAGTATTTTGCCAGATGTTTATATGTCTGTCTGTCTGTCTGTGTGTGGAAAGATTTTGTCAATGTGATCGCGTCACAACTGTGCATACAGGTATGCTAGAAGTGGGGGCACAGGAAGTAGGGAAGAGGCCATTGACCCCCCGACTTTATGGCCCTGGACCACATTTGTTTTAAGTCACGGATAGCTGAATCATAGCTGGTGTGCAGGGCTCAACTAATGACTGTATGTAAAGATGGACGAAGCTTCTCCACTTCCTCTCCCTGTACAAAAATGAAGCCAAAATATCCGGATTTGGCTGTCGCCATTCAGTACTGGTGGCGTCATTTGGAGCCAGAGTCAAGGTAGAGCCGATGGTTGCAGTCTTGACTTCCTGCCCATACACTCATCCGACTAGTTCCAAGCAGCACCATTGATCACAAGTACACTGATTAGCATACAAAGCTGTCAATCATGACATCAACTCCTTTTTGATAGCGTCAAATAACTAAATAAAACTAAACCTATCAGAAAAATGAACACCTGAACATACATCAGCGTGATAAGAACTTCCCAAAATGAAAGCATCTTTGGGAAAAAAAAATTTGACGTGTATTTTGATATTTTAGTTGGGGCGGGGTTTATGACTCGTACTGCAGCCAGCCATCAAGAGGTTTGTTGTTGAGTTATCCATATTTATTATACAGTCTGTGGTCTGAAGAGTAAGGATTGCCTGATTGCCCAGATCAAGTAAAATGCCATGTTGGGCTAGTAAATCTAGCAACTTATTTGCCTGATGGGAAAATGGTAAAAAATAATTAAACACATTGTTTTTCTGGAGCTGACGATGTAGGAAGCTTTGGAGTGAGCTATCTCGCTTCCTTCTTATTTCTGGTACACATGCGCAGTACAGATCAGGCACACAAGAAAATGGCAGCAGGTAAAGACAAAGTTTATAAGCTGACGTGTGCAAACAGGAGTTTAGCTGGGTGGCATTAGGGCATGTGGACAAAACTCCATCTATGCATTGTGCAGTTTGCTGCAAGTCTCAGTGGAAAGCGGATAAAACTGGTTAATTTTCCCTACAGTTAACCTTAGTTTTTGTTGTTATTAGATAACTAGACTCACAAGTCAGTCTGTAGATGCTTTGCTTAACTAAAGACTGATGTCTTTCTCCTTTTTGCTAAGTCTGTTTCCATGCACTTTGTCACATTTTGTTCTTGTCGATACACAAACGTCTCTGCCCCGTCAAGCGTAACAGCTTTTTTGCGATAATTTTAAGGTTGTTTTGGGTTGTTTGTGCTTCCATCGAACTGTTTGCATGCACATATTTTTTTAAGGATCCCTTTAGTTTGGTGATAAAGTATTGTGTCTGACATACGCACTAAGTGTGACACTTTACAGTTGTAGAATAAACCTCTGACTGGTGGTCAAATGATGTAATCTGACACTGGTTATGAATTACGTCGCTGTCTCTGCATGAGGTCACATATCTTTGGTATGTCTGTGTTGCTGGGGTTTTTTGTTACTTAATGTATCTGCCGGCTTATATGTTTATACCGATACATCCGTGACAAGATAAAATTGCTCAATAATATCATCAGTTGGTCTGAATTCATGGATGTTGAACTTGTATCCACCTACGCAGAGAACTTTTCACCTGTGTTGCTACACAGGTGAAAGTGAAAAAACAGAAAAGTTAAGACAAGTAGATGTTAACTATGATGGATTACTTATCTCAAGTCTCTGCAAGTTAATTTTCCTGCCGTATCGGCATGAGTTGGAACCTCTGGGTGCTGGAAAAATGCACTTAATCAGTTGAAGAACATTGTGAGAATGGTCGGCAGTACTATTAATAAAGCACTGTTTGTAGTTAAATGTAAGTAGATGCCTTAAAATATACAGATTTTATATGAATTGTATTTTTTCCGCTTTCCAGTGGCGCAGATTTTGGCACAGAGATTTGTTTTTACGCCACGAGTTGAGTCATTAAACACACACACACTAATACACAAAGCTGAGAAAGCTGTGGTAATCCCATGATGTTTTGGTTACTAGGATGACTTGGATGGTGCAATCCAATCAAGGGACCTCACAGGTCATGAATGAGAGCAGGAGGAAAACAGAGATTGGAGGGAATTCGGGAGCAGTAGAGGTGAATGAGGAGGATTACAGGAGGGAGAGATAAAATAAATGTGGGGGCATAAACGAGAGAGAGTCGGAGGAGAAGAGGAGACGGGAGGGAGATGTAATAACAGTGGGAAGTAAAGGGATAAAGACAGAGATAAGGGAGACTTACGTCATCGCCCTGCTCTCATACACAAACACAGACAGAGTCGGATTCTGTAACAACAAATTGAAGCAGTGGAGCGTGTGTCGTGTCTTGCAGCTCAGGTGTCCTTTTAATTTGTGAATGAATGTTGTTATTGTGAATTGTTTTGTGATGAACCACACACTGCATGAATCAGCCCCGAGAGGAGCAGTCATAACACAGTGTTGTGTTCCAAACCCCACAGAGAGCCACTTAATCATCCGTGTCTGTCTCAGCGTGGTTTTATATTTATCGTCTGTGTAGATAAGCCACTATTTCATAAATGGCCATTTGACACTCTTATTGCAGATTGAAATTATGTGCAGATAAGGGAGTGTTATCGGACCAAGCTATGACAATGTTGCACAAACACACGTGTAACTATAGACGACAGAGTCCTCTGGGTCCTCAGGGTGAAGAGAAACAGAACAAGTGAACACAGCAGTGATGAGCGAGGATACACAGCTTTATAAAGGAGAGTGTATTGCTCCTGAGGGACTGGAGCACCACCTTTGTGGTTTGTGTGTGTGTGTGTGTGTCTCAGTGGGTGGTTGGACCACATTCTTGTGAAAGGGAGTGTTGTCTTGTCACACATGTTTGATGAACAGATTGAGCTTCAGCAGGACTCAGGAAATGTCCTACGCAGATTCTTTCATTCACAGATCTGAAACCACACACAACACAACACACACACACGTCATTTTTAATGTTATTTGAGGTGTGCCAGACAGCATGGCTTAATATTTGTATGTCCTGTGTAAAAGTAGTCATGGCAGAGCTAAGCTCATTATACGTGCAGTCAGATTATTCAAAGCTAAAACAGGTGTGAACTTACATAATACCAGTTCCTTTTAAACTTTGCGTGCTTTCAGCGTTCTTAAATAAGTAATCACTCACAGCAGTGTGCCTGAATAAACACATTGTCATTGCTTACAACAGCGTTTCTAAATTCTAACCGCTCACTCTCTCTCCTCCCTTTTGCTTTGTGCAGGAGAAGCAAAAAACATCCCTCCGTACCCGGGGCCAAACAAGATGAGGGACTGCTACTGCACCGTCAACCTGGACCAAGAGGAGGTCTTCAGGACCAAGATTATCGAGAAGTCCCTTTGGTATACCGGCGCCACCTCCACCCTTTTGTTTGTCATTTTTTCAGTTTGTGTATAGAGAAAGGTGCTGTCATGAAAGTCAAATTATAAACACTTTCTTTTCACCCAAAACTTAAGGCTCATATTAAAGAAATGTTTTCATGTACGGTGCCTCCCTGATTTTACAGTTAATGAAGTGATGCTGTTGACCTTTGATAGTATTTAAAGATAAAACAATTTTCTCTTTATTAGCTTGGTCTGTTGCATGAAAATATATTTTCTATGCATTCAAATTTCCTACTTTTTGGACACAGAAGAACTCTGTATTGATGAGTGCTTTTACAAACACACAGCTGACGTCGGGCTGGTGGTGAGCATCTGTTGCCCTAGTATTTGTGATGTGTCCCGCACTGTTGGTATTCGTCGGCCCTCGTTGGCTGTATTTTGGCAGATTCAGCATGCTGAATTTGCATCAGAGACAGCGTAGGCCGTTGGTGAAGGAAATCACTCTGACTGGCTGTTAAGCTCAGTGCACGAGAAGAGAAACAGAAGTGAGGAAAGTAAACAAATGGTGTAAGTCAAAAGGGTGCTCTTTAGCTGAAATGGTTCATAATTGTTTGCGTTATTGTTTGCTAGCGCACAGTAAATGTCATTTGTTGTGGCAACATTAGAGTGTGTTGTTAATGTGCTAACTGGTTAACTAGCATCTTGATTCCATCCTTTTGGTCTTCTGGTTTCCCCTTTTGAATGACGGATAAAGACTACCACCACCTGCTGGTGTGGGGAGTTATTTGCTGTCACATAGGTGCTGAGCTACATGCTAGTAACCTGTTGGCTGTTGTCTTTGTGGTGCATTCAGGTGCAACTTTTTGGCTGGGACATAGCCGATGTGAGGCGACACAACAGGCGACCTTCAATGCCACTAGTTCTTTCAACTCCAACCTCAACTTCATCTTTATTTTGTCCTTAGAGGGCAATTAGTTGCACAGTATGTAAAAAAAACACACCTAAAAAGACATGCATTGCTGATATCAGTGGTAACCGCCGTATGAGCGCAGTGCATTGTGGTGGCGATGAGCTAACCAGTGGAATTCACACATGCACGCACGGCCAGACCAAATTACCACAAAAAAAAAACACAGAGAAGCTCGGATTACAACACACACAATGGTAGCGTGACTTTATTGTCTGCTCAGGTCTCCATTACTCCTTTGTACATTCACATAGCAAATAGTGTTTTGTTGCTGTATTAATGCTTTTGATTTTGCATAAAGAACATTTAAAGATAGCTGAAAACATGATTCCTTCCCACTTTTATTAACACAGCCCTGAGCTGTCACATTCTTTGTCTGGCTGTTGAGGAAACAAGTTCCGAGATCCTTCCTGCACACGGAGTTCACCAAATTGAATTACATTTATTTAAAGATCCTGTATTTGTAGGATTGTTTATAAACGCAGTTATGCCTCTGGGTGCCTATCCATTCACCCACCCCTCTGTGTATCTGTATGTCTGCTGAGTTACAGAAGAAGCCAGTAATTGTTAGCAGCAGCCCTCAGGGCTCAGCTCACGAGATTCTCATTATAGTCATTTATCCATGGTTGTCGTTTAGGTAAGGCAGAGACTGACAGTTGATGTACCTTCCAGCCAGTGGTCACAAACAGGCCTGTTGTTGTAGGCAAACAAGCTGGAGCGTCCACGTGACTCGAAGCAGGATGTAAATGTATATGATCTTTATTTTATGTCTGCCCAAGCAACACAATTAGTCATCTTCATGTAAGAATGATAAAAGATCTTTGTCTGTGATGTTTGCACGAAGGTTTAGATATGCAACCAAGACACACACAGTCAGACAACACTGAAAATCATTATGGTAGAAGCAGGAATAGTTTATGGATTAAGCAGTCAATCAATCAATCAATCAATCAATCAATCAATCAATCAATCAGTCAGTCAGTTGATGGATATCTTAAAGCATGAGAGCGTGACACTGGGAGGCTTTTCTCATCCTTAGTGAACTAAATATTTAGAACTACACTTCTGTTTTGTGGTGACACACGTTCAATCAGATGAGAGGAACCTCTAATCACCGTTTGCCTCGTGTCTCCTCTCACCTGCAGTCCGTTCTACGGTGAGGACTTCTACTGCGAGATCCCACGTAGCTTCAGACACCTCTCCTTCTACATCTTCGACAGGGACGTCTTCAGGAGGGACTCCAGTATTGGTGAGTGAGCAGCTCCTTGGTACTTGTAACCCAGATTAAAAAATGAATCATGACTTCCTTATTTCATGATGAGTGTTTGGACGGAGAAATAAGCCTCGTGTTCCAGGCCTTACTGTGACTTTACAGCAGTTAAAGCACCACGTCAGGTGGCTTGTCACTTTTATGAAACAGCAGCGGCAGCACTCTGTTGTGTTATAAAAGTTTAATGTTCAAAAACTGTAGCGACAGAGTTATTTTTAAACAATCAACAACAGCCAGTCAAAATTACCGCAGGTCTAACTTAGATTTAAACTTGATTTTAATCTTAAGTGATAAAAACAATGTCAGGAAATAAACCAGCCATAAATGCAGTTTCTAATAACATGATTGACAGAAATAAAACAACAGCTTTAATAACTGATGAATCAGTTGAGTCTGTAATCAAGGAAAAATGTTGAGAATTTACTGGCTCTTGTATTTCTGTGTTAAATATCACTAGGTGCAGTTACACAGACAGTATTATTTCAGTCCAGTTGAAATAGACACATTACTTATTTAATATTAGCATTTAATCAGAGTACAACTTTTTTGACTCAGGCAAAATGGTTTCTGCTGACTGTGAAGCATCTAATCAGCTGGAAAAACAGAACAATTTTTTTCCTCCCAACTTTATTTAGAAAATTCAAATAATTCAGGCGTAGAGGGAGAAGAAGGGGTTTCACACAATTTTTAAAAATGTTTTATTTATGTATTTTTTATAGGGCTGCAACGATTAGTCAACTAATCGATGACTAATTGACTATTAAAATAATCGGTGACTATTTTAGTAGTCGACTAATCGGTTTGAGTCATTTTTCATAGAAAAGTACTCTTATTGCAGCTTCTTACGTTCAGATATTGTCAGCTTTACACACTCTCCCATGATGGTGAACTAAAACCCTTTGGCGTGAGTACGAAACAAGACTTTAGATGACATAATTTTGGGGTTTGGGAGAGACAGACTGACATTTTTCAACATTTTAGCACATTTTTCGATAAAATGATTAGTCGACTAATCGAAGAAATTATCGACAGATTAGTCGACAATGAAAATAATTGTTCGTTGCAGCCCTAATTTTTTATTTGTTCTGCTCATGGCCATGCACAGCAATCAAATTCCCAGTAAAAATAACAACAACTCTAAATCATATTCCATGGCTGAAAAGAGGCAGGGAGAAGAAAACAATCTTATTTTACCTGCCCCTCTCTCAAAACAATAATCAGGAGAAATGATAAATGATAAATAAATACTTGGTAGCAAGTAATGTTGGTGTAATCCTAGGGTCTCTTAAACACCTCACATGCAGACTATCTATAGATGCTAAAATTTATTGATGTTACGAAAATCATGTTCTGAAATTTCTCATGTGCAGAATACTGCTGCTGGTAGTAACTGATATTGAAAATAACTGTTTGTGGCAGCTCTTAAATTATTCTACGAAACCATGTGTCTGCTGAGTGATAACACTGTTAAATATTAATGTTTAATGTCATTAAATATTTACATCTATAACATTTTTAAATGGTATTAATATTTCATATCTTGAAATATTTAACATTAATATATTTTAATGAGCTGCGGTCACAGGTGTGCATTTATCAGTTACAGATTACAAATAAAATCACTCAGCCAATCAAACCTGAGGATCAGAACAACCACTGGTATAATTACAAACAAGATGTTTTAATTAGGGAGGTTTTAGAGGTGAGATATAGATTTTGTTGCCTGTAGACAGAGCCAGGGTAGATGTCACTCTAAGCCATTCGTCTGCTGGCTGTAGCTTCATATTAAACAGGCGGTCATGAGAGTGATGCAGATCTTCTCCTCACACCCTCAGCAAGAACGCCTCACATGCAAAATGTTGATTCATTCCTGTAAGGGCATTTGACAGAGTAGCCCTACACTTTCCGCACTACAAAGGCCTGTTTGTGTGAGGGCGGATGTTTCTGTCAGTGTCATTGGGTGTGTCAGCGCGCATATCAGTGGGTTTGTATTTGTGTGTGTGTGACCACCGACCACAAACTGAAAAATCTTTCTCGAGGTGTGATTTGTCTCATCACCAGCTTCTGTTAGAGTCTGTGTGTGTGCGCCTGGGTGTGTGTGTGGGTGTTGTCAACAGAAAAGCAGGTTGTTAGTTTCAGTGTAGAAATGGCAGTGTCGTTTCCAGGCCACTGACAGCACACTTAGTGTGAGTATCTCTGCACCAGGTGCCTACATGCATTAAGAGGAGAGATACGTGCGTGGATTGACAGCATGTGAGCAGGTGTGTGGGTGTTCGTTGAGTGTTTGTCGCAACTCGAATCTGAACACGTAGGTCATTTTTTTTTTAGGAAAGTGAGCTATGTTTTGAGCTCATTCGTCTTTGTGTGTTAATGTGTGTGTGTGTGTGTGTGTGTGTGTGTGTGTGTGTGTGTGTGCAGGCAAGGTTGCAGTGAAGAAAGAGGACCTGCAGAAGTATCACGGCAAAGACACCTGGTTCCAGCTTCAACCTGTCAGCGCTGACTCAGAAGTGCAGGTCAGTACAGAGAGAAAACACACATTCAGACACACACACTCACACACTATAAAAAACAAAGCTCTCTCTCTATCTTTTCTTCATCTCCTATAGACCCTCCAGTTGTTTTGTTTCTCAGCTTCTCCACAGAAACCACATGATACTCTCAGAGCTGGATACATTTTAGTATGAGCTGTAAATTCACCACTCCAAAGCGAAATTTGTTTCAGTATGAGTGTTAGCTAATGTTAGCAGCAGGCATATATAAGTATACCTTAAATATTCCTTAAATAAAGGTATGAAAAACACAATGTTTTGGTTCCAAACGACGCCCAGCCTGAGACACCCGGCCTGCATACAGTCTTTGCATCGATGTGTGAAAGTGTGTCTGCATGTTAATGTTCGAAGCAGGGCAGAATCCAAACAAACACAGCGTGTGTGCACCTGAAACATCTGAGCCTGCAGGGTCAAAGTCACCTGGCTCTCCGTGTTTACTGCACATCCCATTTGTTCACCTCCGTCACAGCTCAGCTGGTAACGCAGCTTTTATCAGAATCACTATATTTCCCACATTCTGACTTGTCGTGAGAGAGTAACGGCTGACTGTGATAGAGAAGTAAAGTGTATGTTTGGGTTAGATTTGCTGTTGAGGATAATGATAGGATATCACTGGATGTTACAGGAATATATTCGTGGCTCCTGTGTGATGGAGGTAAAAGCAGATCAGAGCAAATGTTGAGAGACAGTCCTGACTGAAATCAAGTGTTTTGCTTGCATTTATTTTTTATTTAACCTTTATAACCGGGACAGAAACTTGAGATTTACTGTAAAAACGACTTCCTGTAAAAATATGTCTGAGGTGTTTTTTAAATGAAGACTCTGAGTATGCTAACCTAAGTCAACGAACCTAAGAGAATGCTAATGAAACATTTTAAAGACAGCCACCCAACCCGAGCGTACAGGATACACTGATGAGTTAGGGGGCTTACAGTTGATAATAAATCTCAATGCACTATGATACACAGTCCAGAGCATGCAAGCACTGGAAGTGTGCGTTCATACATGTAATACATCCTCATACTCAAGCACAGTCAAGAATGTAAGCAGAAAGAGAAGCAGTTCCTATTTCTAAGTGTGTGGCATTTTATCTCAATGGGCCTCATTCATCAACCCATCTTAAGAAGAAGTTCCTTCTTAAAAGTCACTTACGCAGTTTTCATTAAGATTCTGACGCTCGCCAGTGTTTTCTTATTTAGGATTTCTTATTAGGTAAGAAAAGAATCTATGAATACTGAGGAGCACACTTGCGTGCGGACATGTTTGTGCAAAATAATTGTGTTTTCTTCAATTCCAAAGTTGTATATTATTATGGGATTTGTATTAGAATAGTATTTTTTTTTAGCATTTATAATATTTTTTGATAATTATTGTCGTTATTATACAAAAATCTTATGGTCTTTTAAAACAAATGTATTTACCTATGCTGATATTAACTGGCACATGCTTTCAACTTATTAATTTAATTTAATTTAATTTAATTTAATTTTATTTTATTTTATTTTATTTAATTCTATTTTTTTTTTTTTTTAATTTGCGCACACATAAAACTGTATAAAATCCAATTTTTGAAAAAGAAAAAATAAGAAAGGTGTCAGGACAGGTCAAAAGAAAAGACACTAAAAAGAACTAACTAACGTTACACATAAAAATACAACAAAAGATAAATGACACAAGAAAGCACACTGAGCAGTCAGTAAAGAATAATCCAGTGAAAAACATGCAATAGTGCAGTGGTTAGCATTGTCGCCTCACAGCAACAAGGTTCCTGGTTTGAACCCAAGGTGGGGGAGCCCTTCTGTGGAGTTTGCATTCTGTGTCAGCGTGGGTTTTCTCCGGGTACTCCGGCTTCCTCCCACAGTCCAAAGACATGCAGGTTAACTGGTGACTCTAAAATTGGCCTTGAGCGTGAATGGTTGTCTGTCTCTATGTGTCAGCCCTGTGATAGTCTGGTGACCTGTCCAGGGTGTACCCCACCCCTCGCTCAGTGTCAGCTGGGATAGGCTCCAGCACCCCTGTGACCCCCAACAGGATACGTGGTTACAGAAAAATGAATGAACAGCGCAGAGAAAAAAGAAAAAAGGGGGAGAAATATGTTTATAAACAAGTCAAGAAATAATAAACTTACAAGGACAATGGCATTCATCGTTCTGAGGACAGGTGGTAACAATTCTGCGATTTAAGAACACATCAGGAGTCTGACATGAACTTTTCTTACGACTTTTCTACATAAGAAAAAACTTTGGTAGATATTGGTGATTGAGGCCCACTGTTTGCACTTTATTCTGCTTTGTTACAGTTGACTTATTGTCTGTGTAAATCAGATACATATCCAAACATTAATCCAGTCATAAGGAACAACAGAAATGCTGGAGTCACTGAGAAAAACACACGTTTCCGTCTTCTGCTGTTCATGCTGTGTCTGATTGACAGCTGCCAGCTCTCATGGTGTATTCAAGTTGTAAACAAGCTAAATAGTACATTTAAATTTGCACACATATGAATAGTTGACCTACGATTTGCCATTAAAACAGGGAAAAGTTATTTATTTTTCTTCTAGTAATCAGGCCTGGAGCCGTGTCACTTTCCCTCGCTTGTCCTACATGCTTATTAAACACATGTGCTACATTTTCTACTATTCAGTATTCAGCGGCCTCACTCACCCACACGCATGGTTACACACACGCATGCACGCACACACCCAGCTCATAGTACTACACACACACACACACAGTCAGATACACAGTGAACAGTAACATCTGCAGACAGATGGGTGTGTGTCGCCCTGGAGCAGCGATCTGAAACAGAGACACATTCATCCGGGGAGCCGGGGAGAGGAAGGATGTGTGAGAGAATGAGAGAAAAGAGAGAAAGCAAGGGAGACGGATCAAATGAAGTAGGAAGATAGAGTGTCTCTCTTCTCTCTTTTCAATAGAGGACACATTGTTTGGCCTGTGCGCACATGTGTAAGTGCGTGTGTTTGTTCCCTCTGCCTGAATCGGCCAGAAAGAGCGACGCCTGTGAGTTTGCATACTGATGCTGCTAATTAATGAAGCTTTTCGAGACAGCTGCACCACTACACTGTCATTATGTCATTAATCCAATCACTTCAGAGGGAAAATAACTTCAGCATGACGTTCAGGCTCACAGCTATTTACATATACAGTGTCTCTGTTGGTGGAGGAATGCCACTCTCTTCACGGTTGTGTGTTTTGTGCAGGGATTTTTTTTTTTAAAGAAGAATGTTGTTTATGATTGTATTTTTGGCTCATGCTTACCATTTATGGATCAGGCCTTTTCTGAAAAACTGTTTGAATCATTTCCAGCCTCATTTGGTATAGACAGTGCACAGGATTTTTTAGCAGTGCTGGGAAAGTTCAAAAGGTGGCAGTTTAATCTGAGAGCAAAGCAGCTGGACTCTGTGCAACCGGTGGACTCCGGTGATATGGAGAGTCCCAGACCTTGGATGTCTTTGTAGGCGATTTTTGTTTATTCCTGACAGTAAGAGGTAAAAACAAAATCCCCTGTCAGTTACAACCATATTAACTTGAGCCCCTCTTGCATGGAGTACAACAGCAAAAGGGCGAGATAAGGCGGGAGACACCCCTTTATAGGTGGGGTACCCCCAAAGATGAATGTAGGGGTACAGAAACTGAGTATCAAAGGTTCCACATATTGACTGTGGAGGCCTGAGCGTGTCAGGGAATAACATCTAAACAAATTTTGTGTAGTTATACTTCATAATACTAATGCATATTTGACTTTGTTACACATATTACTGCTGTATTATTGACCTCGTTATATGTACATGGCCCAATAAAAACCATGTATCTCCAAGTTTGGTGAATAATAGGGCTGCAACAGACAATCATTTCTGTTATCGAATAATCTGTTGATGATTTTTGCTATCAATCAACTCATTATTGAGTCCATTAAAATGTCAAAAATTGCTCGTCACAGTTTTGCAGAGCCTAAACTGACGTCTGCAAATTACTTCCCTTGTCCAACAGTCCAAAGCCCAAGGACTCTTTGTTTTTTGTCATAAATGTCAAAGATAAGCAGCAAATTCTCACATTTAAGAAGCTAGAACCAGCAAATGTTTGACATTTTTGCTTGAAAAATGACTGAAACAAATAATCAATTATCAAAATAGCCTGTGATTCATTTTTTTAACCACTAATCAGTCAAGATCTAGTGAATAATGTGTTTTCAATTTGAAGTTTTACGTTTTTATTAGTTGACACATGGTTGAACCCACTGAAGTATTTATAGTGACAGAAGGATTGACCCTGAACCTAAAACAGCCTAAAAGTTTTTTTTAGATTGGATTGAGTTGCTCAGTGTTGTTGTCGTAAGCCAACTCTATTTCACATAAACACAAATGAATTGATGAATGCATGGTTTTCGTTGGGCAGTGACCGTCCCCCTGTCACTGGGCACCTCGGCTGTGTGGTGGACGCAGGTGTTATAGAGACGCTGGAGTGTTCATGAGCACTCTGCACAACTTTAAACATGTAAGTTCAAAAGTGTGTGCGTAAAGAGTGTTTATATGTGTGTTTGTGTACTGCAGGGAAAAGTGCACCTGGAGCTGCGTCTGAGTGAAGTCATCACAGACAGTGGAGCCATCAACCATAAACTAGCCACAAGGTGAGACTACACACACACACAAATGCACACACACACACACACACACAGTCCTTATTCATATTGCAGCGAATGTTTTCATTCGGTGTTTGCAATTTTCTAACAAAATATCATAGTGTATGTCAAGAGAAGAAAAGAAAAGAATTTCCTGACCCCATCCTGTGGTCACAAAGATTGTTGCTCCTCTGTTTACAGGAAAATACACATTCTGGTTAACAAGAATTTCACAGCTTTATAATTAAAAATCCATGTCAAGACTTCATTTCATATCTGCCGGCTGATGTCTTAAAGGTTTTTAGGCACCATTTTGGTACAAACTGAAATATCTCTGAAACTACTGTATAGATTGTTGTGACATTTTGTAAAGACATGCCTGGTCCCCAGTAGGATTGGGCAGTATTATGGTATACATACACATTATTGTTCTCAGGACCCTTAAAGCTTTCAGTTTGGAACCACTGTATTAAACCATCTCCTACTTCATTTTACGGAACAATTACTGTATAGAAAAATACATGTATGACTAGAGGGTGTATCTTGCTGACTTTGGTGATCCCCTCATTTTCAATCTTGCGCCACCATCAGGTAAAAATCTCCTTTTGTTGATGACTAGATATCTGCAGAAACTGATGACATTAGCATCAGCTGCAGCTGTACTTTGTGTTTAGTACTAGTTAGCAGATATAGCATGATAAACCCAGGGTGGTAACCTGTGGCGCCAGAGCTCTTTAGCCCCTCTCGAGTGGCTCCACGTGGCCTTGACAAAAGGGGTTAGCATTGTCGCCTCACAGCGAGAGGATGTCTGGTTCGAACCAGCCTGTTCTTCGGCTTCCTCCCACAGTCCAAAGACATGCAGGTTAATTGGTATCGCTATATTGGTGTGAATGTGAGTGTGAATGGTTGTCTGTCTCTATGTGTCAGCCTGTGATAGTCTGGTGACCTGTCCAGGGTGTACCCCACCTCTTGCCCCGTGTCAGCTGAGATAGGCTCCAGCCCCCCCCAACAGGATAAGCAGTTACGGAAAATGAAATGAATGAATGAATTCTTATGTATTGTTGTTGTAGGCCTAAAGTGATTTTTACAATCTCCAATTGTAAAAATGTTTAGCAAATACACTGACTTTAAAAAGTTTTCACATTTCATCAACTTCAATGTGCATCATATGTCTACAGCCTGGCGCCTTTGCCTCTAAACTTTGCTGATCCTCAGTAGCAGTGGCTGGTCTTGGCTGGTCTTGACTCTCCTTAGCTAAGCTAGCTGTGGATTCCAAATCCAAAAGAGGAAAAGTCTCAGAGGAAAATAAAGAGTTTGATAGTGTGTGGACAGATTAGTTTGCTTCCACCACCAATACTGCAAACTTAAAGTACCAAATTATCATAAATAACTCACTGCAGTGTAGCCACGTGGTGGTAAAACATGCATGTTAGCATTCTGATGTTAGCATTTAGCTCAAAGCACAACTGTCAAATCAACACTGAGGTTGACCTGACACTTAGGTACAGTATGGTTACAGTGGACTGGTGTTACTGTAAAATTTCCATCAAGCTGTGTTTCATGTGTTTCATCATAAGTTTTGCTGCTGTTGTAAAAAATGCTTAAGAACAAACGTCATGTATGAAATCAACAGACAGGCAATAGTTTACTCCACAGTGAGAATTCAGATGACATCATCATCATTTTGCGTCATCTCTGACAGCTGTTGAGTCATACAAATATCATTTTTGCATTGTGGATTGTTAGCAGGAAGTAATGTTCATGCCATGGACAGCACTTTCTTTGTTCAGTTGGAGGGCTCCTAAGGTGCATGGCTTGTTGCCCAGCAACAGCTTTTGACAGGCGGAGAGATGGTTGGAGGTTAGAGCTCTCTGTGTAGAATAAATCTCTCTTTGAATGTGTGAATCAGTATGTTGAGGATGTCACTGGCTCCTAAGTCTGTCCTCACCATATTGTTTCAGTGTGTGTGAAATGGTGTTTACACGCATGTATGTGAAATTTAGTGTTCTGCAGTGGATCAATGATATGTTAATGGTGTGGATGGATTATTCTGTGTGTATTTGTGCGTGCTTGTTCGCTTTGCAGCTCTTCTTCTGTAACATGCAGCAGTAAAGTCCGATGACGAGCCAGCGTGGCTCCGTTCCCAGAGCACATTGTGAGTAAGGAGCTTAGAGCAGGAGGTCATCTAGTCAGATTTCTCTAGAAAGACACGTGTATGAGAGAGAGAGAGAGAGAGAGAGAGAGAGAGAGAGAGAGAGAGAGAGAGAGCTGCATCCATTCAGCTCTGCAGGTCAGCAAACCGAGTGAAAGAAATCCTCTTGATGCAAGCACAGGAAATATTATTTATTATAGCACATGTCATTTCAGGTAACATTAGTGTGTTTGTCATTAAAATGCATTTGGTTGGAAGCAGCGTGTACATAAGGATCGCATAAAGTGTAACAGCAACAAAAACGAGAAAAAGAAACACAAGTACAAAAACTAAGGACCTTTTTTTCATGCTAATTTAAACAAATACTCCACTACATTTGTCTGACAGCTGAAGTTAGCACTGAGAGATTTTACAAACAAAACAAAACATGTGGTTGTGTATAAAATATGATGCATTGTGACAGATTAAACCTCCTGATAGGACATAAATTTAAGTTTAGCACTTCTTCCAACAACTACAGTGGTAAAATACTACTTACACATTATTGCAACAGTAATAAAAAACAAATAATATAATATACAAAATATGTCACTCTAAGTGGCCAGTTTTTGCAGAACATGTTCTTTTACTTTCAATATTTAAAGTACATATTTCTAACAATTCTTCTGTATGCATAACAAAATTGATGTAGGGGAACTAAAGAATTTGTCTTTTTAATTCCACACATCCACTTCCTCGTCAAATCAGGCTGCCTACATTACCCAAAATGCAACTCGGCCAACAAGAGTTCGTCTGTATTCATGCAATGTTGGAAAAATCAGAAAAATTAGTTCCCCACTGGAGAAAAATTTAAGACAACAACTCAGAGAGTCAGCAAAAATTTTGGCGGTTGAAAGTACATGTTTTGTTGATGTTAAGAGGCCTTCTATTAATTCACATATTGCATATTTGCTCACATGTGAGTAATAATATGGTATTAGGTTGTAACTGTCAGTTGTCGAAAAGTTATTTATCAGTATTAACCCTAATAACAAAGATAAAGCAATATTTTAGTGGTTTTAGGGGATGTACTGGTGCTGCAATAAGTCTGGCACAATAACACTTCAAACTGTTTCAGCAAACCTAAACAGCAACATGAACCTCCATCTGGATGTTAAAGCTCTGAGCAATAAAGATAAAACACATTTTGTTTGTACCGTCCATGTTGTTTCAACATTAAGACTTAGGGGGTGATCTCACAGAAATAACACACTAGAGACGCGGACACTTTAAAGACGCTTGAAACGCTGGAAGCGCTTATTCAGTGCGCGCTAGCTATTGGCGTCGTGACGCTCAAAAAAGTTGAAAATATTTTAACTTTTCAGTGTCTACGTATGTCTAAAAAGAAGCGTCTACAAAAACGCATGTCTAAAAAGACGCCGGAAAAACGCCCGTCTAAAAAGACGCTTGAACGCCGGTCAGACGTGCCGTATCATAGGAAAACAATGGTTTTACTGGTGTCGCGTTTCAAGCGTTTCATCTCGGTGTGATCGCTCCCTAAAAAGCTCATGAACACACTGAAGTCGGAAGAACGACTTCTTGTGAAATGGGAAAATCTGAGGGTCATGTGAATGCAGCATTTGTTCTGTGCTGGTAAACTCACTTTTTTCATTTTCAAACCTGTAGTCTTCAGCACCAGCCCCTGACTCAAGCAACATCACTTGAGGCACTTGAGCTTGAACGCTTTTTTCACACATGCAGTAGTAGCTTCTCCCCTTCATCTGTAAACAGACTGTGATGTGTGAAAATTTGGGGGTTCCCCTTGAAGTAATATTGTGATTGAAAGTCTTTCACTTGCAATCTGGTAGTTTCACTAACGGTTCTGTATGCGACATTCAGAGCTTCAATACAACAGTAAACCTCTATTTGCCATGTGGAGATATAGTGGAGTAATGGCATCCTGAGCAGAGAATGAAGTCACGCTCCCTCTGTGTGTGTGTTGTAATCTGAGCTTCTCTGTGGTTTGTTGTGGCAAGCTGGTCTGGTTGTTTGTGCATGTTAGTGCATGTGTGTATCCCACTGGCTAGCTCACTGCTGCTGCTTTGCGCTGTGCTTATGCTGCGGTTACTGCTAATATTTGGATGGCAATGTCACAGATGCGTATCACCCACCCTATGGTTCCTCCCTGGGTAATACTGTAAGCTCTGTCAGCACTGTTGCCGTCAATGGTGTAGATTCAACACATATGAAATGGGGGGTCTGGGGATCCTCCGACAGAAAGTGCCAGACACTTTATTGCCTGCATTTTGGTACATTTTTATGCTTCAGTTTGTGCCTTTTTTGCATCGAGTTTTGGCGTAAATGCCTTTAATTTTGTCAGAAAGTCCTCTCGTATGTTCCTGTTTTTATTTGGGGGGTGACAAATGCACATGTTCTAAATACTGAAGGGGATGTGTGCCCCGCTTTCACTCCAAAATCTACAGCTGTGGTTGTTGCTGTTTAGCGCTGTTAATGGAGTTAGCATGCTTAGCTGCTAGCCGCCGGCTCAGCTACCTCCGTATTGAGAATTGTGTCCAGACAACGCTCTGAATTTCACACAGAGCCCCTTTAACGTAATTAAAATTTCGAAATACTTCTTCCACCACTGGAAAATGCTGACAGGCAGAAATGTCGTCGGATGTGTAACACCTTAAATGACCTCAACAAACATCTCATAACTAAACACTTTTGGAATTTCTGATATAATTCAATAAACCATTCCACTTACTTGGAAGGGTGCACCCGTCAGTGACACAGACTCATAATCACATCCGCCTTTTGTGTGTGTGGTTTTGGCACTGTGATGCGATTCATATCCCCCCCGTTTGAGTGAAATTGTTTTTGACAGGATACGTGGGCGCAGAAAAGAAGCACATTAACCTAATATGAGTAATGTCGACTAAAACAAATAAGTCTGCCTTGCCACCACTGTCTGGCATGTCAGAGCTCACAGTGGTGATGAGAGAGGGAGGGAGGGGAGAGGGCTGGATAGTAGGCCAAGCAGGGGTTATATAAACAAGCTTATTGGACAGGAAGCGCTCTGGCATTAGTGATGCTTAACCCAGCCCTCTCCTTATTCCTTATTAGGAACCCCTGTGTGTGTGTGTGTGTGTGTGTGTGCGTGCGCATGTGTGTGTCAGCAAGCTGTTGCATGTGTAGTCAGTTCAGTTGTGGGAAGCTCTGCGATCTGCTGTGTAATTCATCATGTGGTGTGAGTAGTGGTGCATCACCATGACACACAGGAAGTGATTCGTCCCGCTGGGTGTCCTGTCCTGTTTGTGTGTTAATCCCCTTACAGCATGATGTCATAGACACAGGAATAGATAGATAGATAGATAGATAGATAGATAGATAGATAGATAAAAACCTCCTTAACACCTGGATCAGAACTAAAGAGAGCACAAATTACCAGGTGCTTGGCAAGCACCCTGTCTGTGACATGCCAAACAGCGTCGAAGAAACACTAATTTGTACCATTCAGCATTTTTTACCAGATTTAATCACCTGGTCTGTTTGTTCTGGAGAAGAAGAGACTTCTGTGGATAATTCAGCTCCCCATAAAAACCTCCTGAACAATGAACACTGAAGGAATCCTAACCTGGAGAACTGTCATCTTGTTGTAATCTGTCATTCTCACCACCAGAGGCCACTAAATCCTCCTAAATATTACACACCGCTCCTTTAAATACCTGCATACTTGTGCACATTACAGTTATTTATTGTCTTCTTTTGAACATTGTAGCAGGTTGAACTATCATGGAATGACAAGACTGTGCGTTGTACTCAATTACATGCAATTATATTCAAGCACTGGATACAGCGATATGTGAATGACCTGGGCTGTAATCGACTCATATTTGGACATTTAATACTAATATAAACGATTTGTTTTTTTGTTTTGTTTTTTTTCATATGAAGTTTTAAATTTTTAACAGGGTACAGTGAGGCATTCAGTGTGACACTGGCATTCATGTAATACAGTAAACAAGCTTGCGCTGCTAACGATGTATCGGAAATGTGCGACATTTTTTGCCGACACTAGATATCAAACAGAAGCCAGAAACTGTGTCACATTAAGTTGCTGTTAGCACCATTTCAATGCAGAAGAGAGAAGATAATGTTATCTCGATGCCTTGTGGTGGAAAGTTCCTCCTCCTCTGCCCCTCTGCATCATATCTGCAGCTATCTGTACCCAGAAGTAGCATGAAAGTCACTTACACTGACAGTTCAAATCTCAGACTTTCAGGGGGCGGCCCTATGAATGACATCAGCTGACAGGAAGTAGACATGGACCCCAGCTGTTGCAATTACAGAAAAACAGGCTATACAGATAACAAAGTTAGATTGAATTGAATATAAAGTATACAAATTGTATGTTTTACTACATATTGTTTTAATGTGTTGGCTGAGTACAAATATTAATGTGCATGGATACGCACAGTGGGATCTGGAAACAAATCTCTTTTCTTCTCTTGGTGATCAGATACACTTGATTCCTGAGGATTAAATCAACCCTGACCTTTGTATCCTTCATCTCCCTTATGCTCAGTCTGATCCCTTTGTCATATATAGAGTCTAAAGTCTGAAAAAAAGGATCTCTTCCACTTTTTATTTCATTCCTTTCTCCACCCTCTCTCCAGTGGTCTTTTAGCCGTGTGCTGTGTGTAGTCGCTGGATCACACAGGATTTAAAGCTGGCACAACTCTTGGCCAACAGCTCAAACGGCATTACTTCTCTCTATCTCTTTTCATCTGTCCCTCTCTCTGTTTCTGCCCTTCTTACATACAATGCATACAGACCCACCTAACGCTGACACCAGGGGGGGCATTTCCACATGCTGAGAAAACTCACAGAGAGCTCTTAACTGGGCCCAAAATGAACCAGCAAGGACTTCCAGTGTAGGAGTGAGCTGCAGTGTGAACAAACCAGATGTTTTATGTTTGTATTTTCACAGGTCTACTAAAAATGGCTGCAGAAAGCTGAGAGAAGAGAGTTGTTTTCTACAGATGATGTGGATATTTGTAGATGCTTACTGTTTTTGCACTTGGTTAATTTTTTCACGGCAGACATTTCTATGTGTCATTTATAACATAAATCATGGCTGCATACAATTTAGGTGTGCAACTTCAATGTATGCATACATCAGACATTCATGCTTGTCATAGATGAGATCACACAGTGCTAATGGTGCAGTAAAATTAGCATCATGTTAATGTGTTACAGGTGTGTGTGTGTGTGTACAGTAGTGTGTTCACTCATTAATGATTTGTGTGTGTCTCCACAGAGTGTTGGAGTGCCAAGGTCTTCCAATCGTCAACGGCCAATGTGATCCTTACGCTGCTGTCTCCTTACTAGGACCCTCAAGGTCAGCTCTCTCGCACGATAGGACGTGATCTAGCCGCGCGCGACTTTGTTTACCTCATGTTTAACTTTGATTTTATCTCCCGCTGCCTTTTTGCTTCTCTCAGGTCGGAAGCCAAGAAAACCAAAGTGAAGAGGAAAACCAACAATCCACAGTATGAGGAGGTTTTCTATTTCGAGGTGAATATCTGGGCTTTTTAACAGTAACATGTTTGTCGTGGATGGTTTCATGCTGAGTATCAGTCCAACCTAGAGATATATTGTGGCCAAAAGTATGTGGACACCTGAACAAAACATCCATGTGTAATTGTGAGTTTGTTTTGTGTAAATATCATGGCCAGTGTGTGCCATGACTGGTCTTGACTGATCGTCCTTTTCATTTTTTTGCACCTGTTTACGTGGGTGAAGTTACGACTTTATATTACTTATTTCCCAAATGACATGTTCCGTGTTATGCGGCAGATTTTTGCTGGCTCTTGGGCTGTTGCTCGAACTACAGATTGCACTTCTGCAGTTTTGTATGCCCGCCACCACGGACAGAAAGACTATGGCAACAGAGCCCCCCCCCTTCAAACTCAGAACGAACTTTGATCAAACTCTAAAACCTCAAATATGAACCAAGATTCTGTTGCTGCGTTGCCTGTTTGGCCTAAAATGTTTTCAGAAACATATTTTAGTGGACTGTTTATCTGTAATTTGAGATCATCTGCTACCAGCCGGCCACCACATTGTTTCCTGGGTCATAACGGGCAAGTTTGCATTATGTCAACCACCATTGGGAGCGTTTATTGGTCCGCTGCGGCGCACTGCATTCTGGTAGTTGTAGGTTTTCTACCACTTGAGCAAAAGCAAATGCCGTGGCCCTTTTTCTTCTGTTTTCTCCGGTCATGTAGCACCAATTGTAAAATTATTTGCATCTTTCTACTGCATAGACAGCCTAATGTTGAATGAAAAGACCATCTTTCCAGCAGTTAAATGCTTCTTTAACTAGTTGGTAGGTGTTTTATATTGAAATCATAAAAGGTTGTGAAAGTGTTTTGCTAACTTTTGTGCAACTGTTGAGGTTTATGCAAAAAAATAAAGGTCTAATTATTCTTATTGTCTTATTATCTTTGTAATAACACGTCTCAGTTAATATTTATTTTTACCATAGTCATACCATTTCTACTGTATTTGAGATTTATGTGATAAAAGCAACTGGAAACACAACAATGTTTACACTGTTTTTTTTTTTTCCTCTGAATGTCATTTTAAAACTTGTCACGGTTCACAATTATTCATATTCATGAGTTTGTATTTATAGATACTTTTCATACACACAAACACACGCTCTCTTTCACACTGCCCCCATTAACCCTCGCTCACCAGCCGCTCCGCTCTGACATTTTTGTGTCGCTCCTCCCTCTGGCCTCCCCGCTGCAGCACTAGAAGACAGCAGGACAAGAGTATGATTGATTCGGACAAACCACCAAACAATCTGGCCCATTGATTTCCATCCGACAAAACCGTCTCATTTATCCCCCGACCACCACACGAACAGGACTCAGACCCTGTGGTGCTTTCTGCCTGCGGCCCCCCTCTGAGGCCCACGTCCACGAACAGACACAGGCCATCTATCATGTTTGTGTCATGTGATTGTCCCCCTTTTATTGTTTTGGATTCTCATTGCTCCAAACTTACATGGATTCTGATACCCCCCATTTGGACTAAAAGCTTAGAGTTTGATTTGGTCTAGTTCTCCTCACTTGCGCTAAATGTTTCCTCTGTCTCCATCTCTAGGTGACGCGGCCGTTAAGCTACACGAAGCGGCAGTTTGATGTTGAGGAAGAGGATGTTGACAAACTGGCGCTGAGGTGAGCCAGTCTTCCTAGAGAGTGTCAGTGTCAGAAATTGAAGCTCCTCCCATGTCTGAGCTGTACATTGTGCTTTGTGTTCAGGGTGGATCTGTGGAACGCCAGCAACCTGAAATTCGGGGATGAGTTCCTGGGAGGTGTGCGAGTTCCTCTGCGGGTGCTGGGTCAGGCCGGGGTCCACGACGCTTGGTGAGAGGAGCATCGCTCACACATCATCTCCTTTCACACACTCTGTCAATCATTCTGGGTCTGCTTTATGTTGTTTTTTTTTTTTGTTTTTTTTCCTCTGAGCAAGTTCTGCACTGCACCCGGCTGCGGCTGGTTGGGTTTGATTTTATCATCATTGACAGTCTGAGTATGTGTTTCCACAGCAACAGCAGAGCCATAGCAACAAGTATCAACACTGACAAGAGACCTTCTTTAAAGTTTTTATTTAACCAGGGGAGATTTCACTGAGCATGAATGCTTCTTTTCCAACACTGCTGACCCAACAGCGCCTGTTTTTTGCATCTTATTTTTTGGGGGAAACACTTTGCCCCCCATGAACGATGGTATGAGAGAATAAAAATTGTGTTGTTGGTGCAGTCCAAGTCAAGTGGGAATAATCATCCCCTTTCATTGAATAACAAAACATTCAGTGACACAATTTTCTACATTTTAATGTGACAATTAAACCTTCATTAATGCTTTTTCTTTTTGTTTTTGGTCCGACTGGAGGCACCACAACAAGCTGTAAACACAACACTGACATATTATGACCTTATGAGGTTGATATGACGGACATGTTAGCAAACGTTTGCCTATTAAAATATCAAGTAGTCACGGAGCAACATTAGCATTCAGGAGTAGGGCTCTAACTATATGGATTTTTTCTTACTGCAGTGAAAAAGCCATGTATCGTCACGGTTTAATGGTTTAAATGCACAACAGCAGCTCCCTATCTGGTGTTTGAATTGTCTGTATCGTCACTATGAACGATAAACTATGATAATCCAGTCCCATCTCTGGTCCCCATCATCTTTAAACATCAGTGAAATGATTTAGGAACATCCCCAGTTGAGACACTTCTTGCGCATCATCCCTTCAGCTAAGATCTCATATACTTTTTCTTCCTCAGGTACTTTCTCCAGCCCAGAGAGAACGGAGGGAAGTCAGTGAAGGTAGAAGAGCTCGGCTCTCTGCGTCTGAACATCGTTTACACTGAGGACCACGTCTTCCCCTCCGAGCACTACACGCCCCTCAGAGAACTGCTGCTGCACTCTGCTAACGTAGAGGTGTGTGTACGTGTGTTCTCTTCTGCTCAGACACATCTTCTGTTGACTGCTTTTTGCTTCGCTGTTTGAACGCTACATGTTTCCTCCTCTCTGTTCAGCCCGTGTCGGCGTCCACAGCTCACACTCTGGGGGAGGTGTGTCGGGAGAAACAAGAAGCCGCCATTCCCCTCGTGCGTCTGTTTCTTCACTATGGCAAGATTGTGCCTTTCATCAGCGCCATCGCTCACGCCGAAGTCAACCGTACACAGTGAGTGACACGTCGCATCTTTAACGGACATATTATCTGTTGTGAAATATATGTGTAGCTTTATCTTTGTTAGCAGTTATGTGAGACATCTTTAAACATAAGCCAACTGGATGTTGCATAGTTGGGATTTATTTCGCCACTAAATCAGGTGCAGATTTATTCTTAAATCATTTTAATTAAAGTGACTTTAGAAATGCAGTAATCAGGCTGTATGTGAAAAACCAACTCGCTTAGCATTTTGTTTGACTGTGAAAAAATATATCATCAGCCACGGTTGTGTGATTTATTATGGATATTAAATTACTTTTAAAAAATCGTGTTGTTTATTAAGCTGCAGTTTTGATTTTTTTTTTTTTTTTTTTACTGTGTGTAGGGATCCTAACACCATTTTCAGGGGAAACTCACTGACTTCTAAGTGCATTGATGAGACCATGAAGCTGGCGGGAATGCACTATCTGCAAGTCACACTCAAACCCATCATAGATGAGGTATGGCTCTACAATACTCACACATCTGTCACACGTATGTCTCTGTAGCTAAATCAGGTATGAATGGATATGTGAATACTTTGATAAATCTTCACAGATCTGCACAGATCACAAACCCTGTGAAATCGACCCGGTGAAGCTCAAAGAGTCGGAGAACCTGGAGACGAACAGGGTAAGAAGATGAGTGTGTTGTGTGTTTGTCCGTGTGTGTTTGCGTGTGTGTTATCTGACACATCTCCTCCGCCTCCCCTCATCAGGAAAACCTTCGTCAGTACGTGGACCGTATCTTCAACGTCATCACCACCTCCGGTGTCCGCTGTCCCACCGTCATGTGTGATATCTTCTTCTCTTTGAGAGAGTCCGCTGCCACCCGTTTCCAAGGTAACTCACCTCCTGAGTGACTTAATAAGAGATGGAGGAGAGGACGCAAGCTGCTATTAAGGAACAGGAAACCGACAATAAAGAACAGGATGTGCAAGATGTGTCCAAGGACACTTTCTTCTTTTTGTGCTCTGCTATTTGTGTCAAACCTGAAAACACTTAAGCCTCCCACGCACTCATTATAGTGATGTGTGGAGTATGTACACACAGAGTTGTATACTGTGCTGCCTCCTGTTGGCCGTCACAGGGCACTGCAGTCACAAGAGGGACAAGCTGTTGGGATTAAAAATGTAAAGTTAGTTAATATTTAGACAGCTCCACTTTTCTTCTTCCAGACTGTATGAGACTATTTGAAACAAGTAAAATGTGTGTGATATATCCCTGTTTTTTTTTTTATTTCTGTTCTCAGTAGACCAAGATGTCCGGTACACAGCGGTGAGCAGTTTCATCTTCCTGCGTTTCTTCGCTCCAGCCATCCTCTCCCCAAACTTGTTCCATTTACGTCCGCACCATCCAGTGAGTCTGTCTTTTTTTAAAATAATCACAGACGCAACTAACATGCACACATATTCACAGACAGCGCTGGGGAGTAACTAGTTAAATGTAATTAGTTACAGTAATTAAATTACAAAATAAATGTCATTGTTGTCAGTTACAGTAACTGAGAAAAAATATGTAATTAATTTACAGTTACTAATCAAAGTATTTGTGATTACAAAGGGGTTTGATCCAAATATTTTTTTTCAGTGAAAAGTTTATATGTAGAAGATACATTCATTCTCTGTCTCACCGTGCAGGAATGCCTTCTTTGGGCACAGCCTAGATCTGACATTTTTCAGCTTTACTGACAAGTTTAAGTCATATGTTAGAAAAGTAATCAAATGTAATAGGTCACATTACTTTGATGAAGTCATTAAAATAGTTACATTACTTATTACATTTTTAACAGGGTAACTAGTAATCTGTAATCTAGGGTAACTAGTAATCTGTAATCTAAGTAACCTTCCCCTCACTGTGCACAGATCCCTCCAAAAATAAGTGCTGCAATTACTAAATAATTTTTTTTTTATAAAAAAAAAGAAAAGAAGTGCTGCAATGACAAAATAAAAAAACAGAAATTAAGTGCTGCTGAAAAAAAAGAAGGTTTAAAGTTCATTTTAGACAATGAAAACAGTAGCTTATAATTATATCACATGATTTTCCTCAGCAAAGTTAGATTTTGTTCAAATTTAGACATCAAGGAATTCTCGTGCCTGTTGACATAAAGCTAAACAAGGTTTTTTCTGGCACAAAATGAGGCGTAGGTGGTACCATTCCGATCATGTGCACACATGTGCATGTGTATCCTGACTTCAACTGGCTCAAGGAAGCACTTCTTACAAGCAACATGTTTTAGGACTCTAAGACTTAGGAATTATACCATTGGAAAAACTACAGTTATTAATAATTTGTGGTAGTGTAGCAGTCAGTTGTGTCTGTAATGGATATTAAATGTTCATCTGCAATTTTCTTTGGTCACAGTAATATTTATTTGTGTCCTGAAGTAGCATATCACATGACCTGGTGAAGCTATGTCTAAGACTGAAGAGATGAAATACTGATAAAGTGAGAATGAAATTGTTTTATTCTGCTGGCAAAATATTGTTTACATAACTGTAGATCTCCTCCTGTTATTGAAGTATTTAGAATATAATTAAAAAAAATATATTTGTAATAATCCCCACTCACACTCTGTTACAGGGCACTTTTATAACCCTGTCCTTTTTTTAGATAATATATTTTGATTGTTTTACTTGCTATTTTAAATTATTTGCTTTTATCAGTATATGTGGCAGTCATGTTCTCATGTACTGTAAAAAACTAATATCATGCTTTACAAATGTGTATTTGATCTTTTGTACTGATACAGTAGAAAAAGGAGTTGATTAAAAAAAAGGTATTTAATTTTCTTACATTCACTAGTGTAAACGTGCTACAGGACAATCATTCACAAACGTGCACAGGTTTTGTCCTTGTTTTGCTGAGGTCTAAAACAGACAGCTCTTTTCTTCCTTCTTGGCAGTTTTGGCAGCCCCTTTCCCAGTGCACTATGCTAATTACGATTCAGCACCACCACATCAGCGTAATGCCACAATTGCAGTTACAAATGACAGAAATCCACCAAGTGCAACGCTTGTTATAAAATAGTGTTTTCCATAGTGTTTTCCATCATTCAAATGCTGGAGGCGGCTGCTTCCTGATTCTCTGTGCAGGAAAAACCCCGACTGAAGTTACAGTTCATTCTTGACTTTGGCAACAGTAACCTTGTGTTCATAAGTCCCTCCAGACCCAGGTTTAGACTCTATATTACTGATACAGAGCTTTTATATTGTGGTTAAGTGTGATAGCTGATCTGTCAAGATTTGACTTGATGTCTTTTTGTCTCCCTAGGATCCTGCCACCTCTCGAACCCTCACCCTCATCTCCAAGACGATCCAGACCCTGGGAAGTCTCGCCAAGTCTAAATCTGTGAGTTTCTCTTTGTGCGTTTTCAGTACATTTCAGTGTCAAAGTCAGATTCAGACACAACTTGCTGATCTTCTGTCTCTCTGTCTTTCCATACTTTTGTTCCTTTCCAGGCCAATTTCAAAGAGTCTTACATGGCTGCATTTTACGAGTACTTCAATGAGCAGAAATATGCGGACGCTGTGAAGAATGTGAGCGCTCGGCTTTGTTCTTTGTTACATGCATTAAATCACTGCCAGTCTGTAGACATGTTATCAGATATTCCTTTGTCTTGTATGTGAGATGATGATGAACTCAGCGAATGAAAGAATGCAGACGTTTGAAAAGAACTGAAAAGGTGGAGTGGATACAGGGATGTCAAAGCGTGGGTGTCATAGTCTGAAAAACTTGAGTTACTTGGATGTCGTGTGAGAGGAAACACAAATTACCAACACAATGAATATACTGATATATGACATCCTTTAATTTCTCTGACAGTTCCTGGACCTGATCTCCACCTCTGGCAAATGGGATCAGAAGAGTATTGAAACACCAATCATGCTCAAAGAGGGGTAAGGAGATAATTTACTGTTAAACTGATATTCATGGAAAGAAACACCCAAAATAAAACTAAATGTTTTGTTTATTGTCTATAAACAGCTCTCCAAATGCCACTGCTAAGAAGTCCTATATATGTGATGGTGGATTAATTTAAAGAATTTATGAACTGTCTTATAAACTATCTGTTCCCATATCATCAGTCACCTTTTCATTGCTAATTATCTTATTAAAGGTATACTATGCAGGAATTGTTGGCTACTGTTTGTAAATAGTATCGCCAGCAAAATTAAAAGCCAACCCCAAATTCACTCTCGTTTGGTGTTTTGCCTTGCTGCATTTTTTTAGCACGTGTCCCTTTGATGCCTGCTGCTTTACAGTGCAGCACCTGGTTGCTACTTTATTATAAAGCCCGAACCTCACCTGAGTGCTGTGGGGGCACATGCCTATAAATGTCCCAAACACAGAAAAGAAGAAGAATATAAGAAAACATGCAAGTGTCGTAAGTGATGATTGAGAGGGGTTACCTCTGTATGAGTCTGTACCAGTGGTTCTCAAAAAGTGTGCTGTGATGCCAATCCAGGTGTGCCGTTATTCACTGTAAACACTGGTACTGCAATATTCAACTGGGCCTGTACAAAAAATAATGAATGAATTTGTATTGACTGTATCAGTATGTTGTGCACACCCATTTAATTTAATTCAGTTTAATTTAATTCAGTTTGAAAACCTTCACAGGGAACCTATTTGTTGCCGTTCACGCTTGGGTATTATAAGTGTGTGGCGCATCAAAAGCCCTTATTGACCACCAGTGTGAGGGATGATACCATTTAAATGGAAAAAGCCGTGAGTGGGACAATGGATCGCTTTATTTATTTATTTTTTTAAAGATATTTTTTGGGCATTTTTAGCTTTTATTTGACAGGACAGACAAATGTGAAGGGGGGAAAGAGGGAGTGACATGCAGCAAAGGGCCACAGGCTGGAGTCGAACCTGGGACGCTGCGGCAACAGCCTTGTATATGGGGCCCCTGCTCTACCACTAAGACACCCCGATGGATTGCTTTATTGTACGGAGCAAATTACAACAAAGCACCAGCAAGGATGACCTACCACCAAAAGAAAGTAGACAGCATCATGAAAGCTACCTGTCTTATCTTTTCTTTTATTGTCTTATGTTGTGATAAGAGTGATAACACGTTATAAAAGCTATTGTGCACAGATATAAATACAGGTGTACCTTGAGAGTTTGGCTTGCCCTTTGGTGTGTCTTGTGCACAAAAAGTTTGAAAAGCACTGGTCCATACGGTGTGTTTTGGAAAAATCCTGCACAGTATATCTTTAAGTTTGTCTTGGCACTTGTTTCTAGCTTTACACAGCTGGGTTGACTATCAATGCTCAACTGTCCAGACTCAGACGAATAACTTAAAGGAGTAGTTTGATATTTTTGGAAATATTTGCTTTTAGATGAAAAGATTGATTCCACTCACATGTCTGTACAGTAAATATAAAGCCACAGCAAGCAGCCGGTTAGCTTAACTGTAAACAGTGGTTAAACAGCTATCCTGGCTCTGTGCAAGGGTGAGTAGAGTTGCACATATCATACATTTTTTTGTTTAATCTGAACAAAAACTAAAGTGTAAAACCCTTTTTTTTTTAGATTTGCAAGATGAATTTACAAACGATAAGGCATTCATTACAATTACAAAATGGCGTAAACTTACATTCGGTTTATTTATTTATTTAATTACATTTCATGCCTTTCCTTTTAATATTTCCATAACTAACAGGAATTCTTCTCTCCAGTACATCTGAAATTATGTTGAGTATTTTATTTTCTTAGCTCTCTCTCCATCTCTCACTCATCGAGGATGAGGAGGCACACATGAGCTGCTCTCTTCCAATTTACATGCATGCCAGCAGATAACATTTGGTGTAGCTGTATTGTCGTCCAAGTGGGAACAGTAGACTTTTAGAGTTGTAGGGCTCATACACGCTGCCAGAAACAGGTTTTGATAACAAAAAAGGGGAAGAAAAAAAAAGTGTTTAAATGTGTCGTAAATTGGGAAAAAATATGGAAAAGTTGTGACACCAAGGGGAAACGTCTCGCAGGAAAACCAGGAGGGTTAGCACGTATGTCAACTGCTGGCTGTAGCTTCATAGTTAACATCCAGACACGAGAGTTGTTTCAATCTTCTCATCCAGCTCTCTGCCAGAAAACAGATAATTTTATTTCCCAAATTGTCAAACTGTTTCTTTAAGTTGTCTCTGAAGTGAAGCTGGATTTTACCTCCACATGTTTGAGCCCTCGTGGTCTGAGTCATTTCCAAAGTGAACAGTAACGATACACTCGAGGCTGTACACTGAGCCCTGTCTACAAACACACGGGCTGTTGTTGTGATGATATTTCTAATGAGGCTGTAAAGGGGGGAGTTGTGCCAGCGCCTCGCTCATCAACATCCCCACCCTCTTTTGTTTCTGCTACCGGGCGTAGGAGTGTAAAACTCACTATAAAGAGGGTTGATGGGAAGGGGTCAAAAGGCACGAAGGGCAGGTAAGAGCTTCTCTGTATGACGGCTTTGCCCTTGTGACCCCCCCGTGTGTGCACTGTAACCCTTCCCCAAACCAAGCCGGTCATTCTCTCCCACCAACATCATGCGCTGCTGTAGATGCTGCTGCACTTTACTTTATATCTGGATTAAATACAGTATAAGCAACTCGTCTGTTACACTGTCTGACACTGTGTGATGTATTTAAGTCTCTCTGTGTTTCCATGGCAATAGGCTGAGTGTACACTGACTGTGATGGTATAAAGTAAAGTGTTAACCTTTACGCCTTAAAGCCTTCTCTAGTGCTGACAGCCCCTCTCGATCCTCGCTGTGCCAGACATGCTTGATGTGACAGTGACAGCAGGGGTTAGTTACTGTACAAACATTTCTGGGATCCCGCATCCTGACCCTTTATACCCTTTTTGTCCAGACTGTGACCACATCACTACCTACACATTAGAGTGTCCAGCACAGCTCTGGGCATTTTGGCAGATGTGAAACCGGCACGTTCTTGGCTCAGTAGTGTGAAAAGAGTTCCTGTGGGAGAGGAGTAACTTTGGTGCTTCATATCCCACATATGCTATGGCCCTTAGACTCTAAAACAAAGACATCCTGGTGTTTACTCTCCCTGAAAGCCCCATACTGGTTGTTTAACATGTTTTAGCCCATTATCAACAAAAATGTGTACCTTACATCACTGTCAGACATTTTCTAAAAAAATCGAGGACATCATAGAGGACTTTTGCATGCATTAAAGCTTAGTTAGGGGACTTCTATAAAAATAAAACTGTCACTACACCCACACTGTATTACACAAGACATTTAATTGTGTCCCCGTGCCCCCCGTGTATCTATTGGCGATTGCAAGAACCCACTGTGTCTGAACGAAAGCAACTAATCAGAGCCGAGGAGTCTCTAATGCAGCTGTCACGTCAATATCTTCCTATGAACTGCAGTCAAACTATCAAACTAGGCAGCTGTGATCGAATATGAATCTGAAGATTTTGTTACTGTTTCTCATCTCAGATGTTTTCAGAAACATATTTTTGTGTACTGTTTAGCTGTAAAATGAGAAAGGTTGCTCCAGCGTGTGGGCGGTACTTTTCGTTAAGCTCACTTTTTTTCAACGTGGCAACTAGGTCACAAATGTTCTCATTTTACAGCTAAACTGTACACTTAAATATGTTTTGAAAACTTCTGAGGTAACAAATGGGCAAAGCATTAACTGAATCTCGATTCATACAAACCTTTTCCACCACAAGTAGCATATGTATGCAGGTTTTTAAACGCGGGAAAACCTGTTCAATATAGCTGATAGACTGCTTTCCCATTGCCAGTAGAGAAGACGAGTATACCTTTCTGGTTTTTGTTGTTTTTTTCTCCTGGTGTGTCACGTTCAATGTCACGGACAGGCCAGAAGACAGGTTAGCAAACAGTAGAAAACAGCATAGAGGCCAGTGAAAATATTACGCTGATACTTCGTTTATATATCTCTTACTTATTCAGTCTCTCTTTCAAGCTCAGTCCTGACTTAATTTAGGCTGATGTTCACATGCTACTTGGACGCAAACTGGGAATATCTTGAGGCTGCCTATCACTGCATCACGCCAACTGGCAAAGGGGCTAAAATTAGCGCCTCTACCAGGGTGTCGCATTTCCATCATTGACTACTCATTTGTCCTTAGAGTGAATGCCAGTTGTAACCTTTCTCATTAACACAAAAGCCATGTGTTAGTCCATTCACTGGGAGAGCAGCTGTATTTGATCAGCGTTGCCAAGTTTGACAGTTTGACCGCAGTTCATGAGCAGTGATTGATAAATAAGTTGTAAGTTGTGTCAGAAAATCATACCCAGAATTTAAAAAGTGGGCAAATACAAACATCATTAACAGTCAAATGAAAGTTTCTTCTAGGGCTGCAACTAACCGTTGTTTTCAATAGCGATGTGACTTCTTTAAAAAATATTATCTATATGGCAAAAAGTCAGAAGGTATTTATACACAGTTTGTTGGTAATGGGGTGAAATGTGCAAAATCAGGGGTACCTTTGACCTGCTGACCCATCTCCTATTTGACTCATAGACTTTTAAATCTATGAGCACTGTGAAGTTTTTTACATGTACAGTAGCAACAAACACAAGGAACTGCGAGCATGTAAACGGAATGATAAATGTAGATTAACGACTGCACTGGATTCGTTTAACCTGAATGAATGTGTGGTATATGTAGTTTTACGGGAAGTAATGGATTTATACTCACACTCAGCACTGTAGACACGTACAAGGGATGTATTGTGCCAGATAAATTATATTTTTAAACATGAGCTTGTCTGTCAAGGTTTTCAGTGTTTTTTTTCTCGCCCGTTTTTCCTCAGATTTATGATAAAGAGGGCACAAGGGAGAAACCGGTTTGGAATGAAGAACTTCAAGAAGCGATGGTTTCGCCTCACCAACCACGAGTTTACCTACCACAAAACGAAAGGTGGGCTCAGAGGTCCCTCAGGATCCTCTTACAGCCGCATTGTTTCCTCGTCTGTTTATGTCGTTGTGTGCGTGTGTGCTCTTGTGTAAGAATCAGCAGGAGGAAGCTGAGTGGGAATCTGCTGAAGGTGCATTTAGCATGAACACAATGTGCACTCAACACATGTGGTGGAGATTAAGTTACTGAGCAGGCAATGCATTTGTGCTGCATCCAAACAAGCCAGGGCCAAAACACGTAAGCTGTTTCTAAATTTCAGACTACATAACAGTTTTTTTAAAGTGAGAAAATCAAGCACACTCCAATTAGTTAGTGTGAAGACTGAAAAACATTTTCATTTATTTAAATTGTGCTGTAGATGGACAGTGACATGACGTTTACATGCACAAAATATTCCAGTTTTGCCCTTATTCTGAAAAGACAGTATTCCTTCTAAGCTGTTTACATGGCTAATGAAAATGAATATTCCACTTATAGCCTCATTTATATGCAGCATTGTGTACTTGTGTATTAACGTGCCATAACAAGTAAATTATGACGCAAAAATATGGAGCTGCTTGTGCACCAAAATACGATTTTTCCGCTGGTGGCTGGCTTGTTCGGCCGTGTGAACACAGTGTCCCTCTGTCATTCCTTTAACCGCCTTCTTTAAAAGGTTGCAGTATTTGCACATATCCAAAAACCTGTTGATATCCAAGTCTGTCATATGTTTAAAAGGTATGTTTCTTCCTCTGACCAAAAAATGTGGGCTTTTTTCTTTTGGGCATGCATCTCTACCCCAGCCCTGCAAACTTCTGGTGAGTTGATTTGTGTACAATGAATCCATGACAACACGCAGAGCCGACTGTAAACAGGCAACAGGCCACGTGTCACATCCCCAGTTGAGACCCATATTCTGAATGCGTTGTGTACATGTGCTTCTAAAACCTGATTAATGTGGGCATATCCCTCATTTTTCAATCAGAAAACGCTACTTTCAGAATGAGGCTTAATTCGGAATATCCAAATGAAATTTACTGCCCATATGACCCATGTTGAATTTAGAATATTGTCATATTCGGAATATTAGTGTGCATGTAAAAGCAGTCACTGTTGTCCCACACTGAAATGCACAAAGAAAGGAATGGCAAACTAACATGGCGTCCATTTTTATTACTATTCATTCATTCATTCATTCATTCATTTTCCGTAACTTCTTATCATGTCAAGGATTGCGGGGGGGCTGGAGCCTATCCCAGCTGACGTTGTGTGAGAGGCAGGGTACATCCTGAACAGGTCGCCAGACTATCACAGGGCTGACACAGAGACAGACAACCATTCACACTCACATTCACACCTAAGGACAATTTAGAGTCACCAGTTAACCTGCATGTCTTTGGACTGTGGGAGGAAGCCGGAGTACCCTGAGAAAACCCACTTTATTAACTCATGTTAAAACACGTCATTGTTATTTTACACATTCTTTACTTTTTGTAATTTCTCACATCTGATGTGTTTACTTGTACCTCCAGGTGAGAGCGCTCTGTGCAGCATTCCCATAGAGAACATTCTGGCTGTAGAGAGGCTCGAGGAGGAGTCTTTCAAGATGAAAAATGTAAGGACCCCACACATCTTTGGAGCTTTGTGCATCTGGTCCAGAATCACTCCTACATGTGTTTAGATTCCTCCCTCACTTACTGTCCCTTCTTCCCTCCTTCCTCCAGATGTTCCAGGTTATTCAGCCAGAGCGGGCGCTCTACATCCAGGCCAACAACTGCGTCGAGGCACGAGACTGGATCGACATCCTGACCAAAGTCAGCCAGTGCAACCGCAAACGCCTAAGCACCTACCATCCTTCAGCCTACCTCAACGGCCACTGGCTCTGCTGCAAGCTCTCGGCAGACACAGCCCCTGGGTGTACGCCCTGTACTGGGTAGGTGAAGCTGTTGAAGGGATGACTTTGCTGATGTTCAACCAGCTTTGTGTCATCACAGTATGGGTTGTAGGTGCAAATGTGTTAAACTTTCCCCTGTCCTACCAACAAATGAGGCTAAACAGCTATAAAGTCTGGTGTCTTGCTTCTATGTAGGAGAGCTGGTGGGGCCTTCTGCATGTCTGAGCCCAGGGCCCCATTGACTCATAATCCGCCCATGGGTTTTCTACCTCTTCAGCAAAAACGAATGACCTTTCCCACTGTTATGACTGGCCATGTAGCACCAATCAAAAGTATCCTCAGAGACAGCCCAGCTCTGTGAAAAGACCATCTTTCCAGCAATGAATTGCTTCTTTAAAGTCCATCCTGGATCAGGTTCCTTTGATTTCTTTCCACTCACTCATCTTCCTGTGTGCATCTGTTTTCAGCGGTCTCCCAGCAAACATCCAGCTTGACGTCGATGGAGACAGAGAGACTGAGAGGATTTATTCCCTGTTCAGCACATACATGACCAAACTAATCAAGATGCAAGGTTAGATGCTGACAAGAGTGTTTTCAAGTCTTTGTGAGCACGCACGTGTACGATTGCACATTTTCCATGTTTATTTTCACAGTGTCATTTTTGTTCTCTCTCTGACTCCACTGCCTGTCTGCCTGCCTGTCTGTCTGTCTGTCTTCCCCCGCAGAGGCCTGCGGCAGCAAGTCTGTGTACGACGGGCCCGAACAGGAGGAGTACTCCAGCTTTGTCATCGATGACCCCCAGGAGACCTACAAAACCCTGAAACTGATTGTTTCGGCCGTGCAGACCTTGGAGCAGCAGCACACCAAGTACAAACGTGACAAGTTCAAGAAGACAAAGATAGGAAGCCAGTACGTAGATTATTATTTATCCATGCTAATAGCTCAGATTGTGTTTTTTTTTTAAACTGCAGTTGTGGCATATAAACTGCAACAGAGGCTGAAAACTGTGGGAAATATGTTAGGTGTGAAATATTACTGAGCAACTTCCCCTTTTGGCCAGCAGGTGATGCAGTCGTACAGTCCACAATTGCCTGTAATGATTGAACTTGTACAAAGTATGCTGGAGATTAAATGTAGCTATTTTAACATTTCAAACATAATAATGGTGTCATAATACTGGCCTCCAGCTCTGCTTGGCACCTGGTAATCTAAAAAAAATGTTAGTTCTATTTCTAGCTCTAAAGACCGCTCTTTAACCTCCTGCCAACAAATAAACACCACCTTTCTCTTTGTATCCCCAGGGAGCATCCAATTGGAGACAAGAGTTTTCAGTGCTACATCCGCCAGCAGTCTGAGAGCTCCACCTACTCCATCTAGCCCTGTGTACTGTTTCTATGATGCCCAGAACCAGCATATTTTACTTAACTGCAAAAACATCCATCTTAGCAATGCTCCATGTCTAGTATTGAGTTTTAAATCTTTATTTTTCCTTAAAACATTTTTTAAAAAGCCATTTTTGACTTGTCTCCAATGCAAAGCATCCATGCTTCAACAGGAATACTTCACTTTTTTATAGACTTTTCTGGAAGCAAGTGATGCTGTTTTGGAAACAAGCGTCACCTGACTGGCTTATTGGTTCAGCGTTAAGGAAAATAAGAGTTTCAGGAGTCAATACCAGACTGAGCGAGCTGTCTAGATGGACTTTTCTTTGCGGTGTCTCAAGATGCATCACTCCGACGTTGGAGGACAGACCTCAGATCAGCATGGAAAATGGAGGAACAGTTGTGGAGGGAAGGAGGGATACGAATGAAGAGATAATCACACCACACGTCTAATTAGGTCTCCTGTCTGTGATGTGACGAGAGAACAAACAAACGTTTTCACTGGACAGTTTCTGACAGTGACCGACACGCACTTTAATCGCCTCCAAATCTATGGATGAACAAGCCTCGCAGCACACTTTTTAAAAAAAAAAGCTTATTTTATGTGTTGATTTGTATTTTAATGGTTGACATGTTGAAATGTTCCGTTGTATTTCACTCCAGAGGGAAGGAAGGACTTTAATTTTTTCCTCTTTGGGCGGTGTTCTTGTCCCCATATTTGTTTGTTTTTTTTTCCTTTTGTTTATTTGTTTGTTTTGTACCCAGCCCCCTCAGGAAGGCTGTGAAGGTCGAGGGCACACAAGGAGGGATTGTCGGGACCAAGCACAGCTAAGAGCTGCTTGATGTTAGCGAGCAATTTCATCCCTCATTTTAATCCTTATCATCAGTGTGCTAACAGATGTGTAGGCGCAAGTTTTCACGTTTCATTTGAAGCCTTGTCGTGTTTGGATATCACGCTTCTGTGTAACCAGTACCGGGGTTAAAGGAATAGTTTGGTTTCGGAGAGTTCAGACGCTGAGTCAGACAAACCTGTGGATGCCTTTATTATATCTTTATGTGTGTCAAGTTGCAGCTTCTCTTTTAAAGGGACAGTTCACCCCAAAATCCAAAACACACATTTTCCTCTTAACTTTAGTGATGTTTATCAATGTAGATTGTTTTGGTGTGAGTTGTCAAATGTTGGAGATATCAGCCATAGAGATGTCTGCCTTCTCTAGAATATAATGAAACTGGATGGCACTCGGCTTGTGGTGCTCAAAGCGCCAAAAAAATACATCTGAAAAACTTAACAGCAATGTCTCTCTCTAGAAATCATGACCTGGTTACTCAAGATAATCCACAGACCTTGCTTTGAGCAGTTTCATGTAGGAACTATTTTCTTTTATCATCACCACATAGATGGAAGCATGCATCTCTTGCTCTAGCTCACGTAGCACCTCTGAACTAGCTAGCGTTACAGCTCAGACAGAAAGGACAACATTAATGTTTACATCTCACGCTGTCACAAGTACGAGCCTCTTGTCCATGAGTAGATGCACACTTCCTTCTGTGAGGCAATGTAGTTGACGGTTGTAGTTTGATAGAATGAATGTAGTTCCTACATGAGCACCACAAGCCGAGTGCCATCTAGTTCTGTTATATTCGAGAAATATCTCCAACACTCTGCAACTCACACCAAAACAATCTAGACTCATAAACAGCACTACAGGTATGAGGAAAATTATGTTTTTTATTTTTTTATTTTGGGGTGAACTGTCCCTTTAACCCAATATTGAAATCAGGGTAAAAACATGCTGTGGGCCTCTGTTGACTCCCATAATCTGTGAATTGTGACTTTGTTCACAAACATAAGTATATTCAGTAAAACACATTGTGTAACCACAATATAAACTCACGTAATAAGGTGCTTATAATATGCACTCAGTGACCACTTTATTGGGTACACCTGTTTAATTGTAAATCGGCTCAGCTGGGCCATACATTCAGTTAAATTCAAGTTAGAGGTGGTGTTATTTTGGACTATATTGAGAGGTGTTTATAATTTTGTCCCTCCTGCAGTATTTACATACAGTACATGAGGGGTGCAGAGTAATAGAAACGCCCCTGAATATAATGCAACTCACAAGATCACCATCACTGACTATAGCCCCAATAATAAACATAAATAAGTTAACACCTCTATGACAGTGACCAAAACCTGAACATTATAGGCATCATAAATTTTACGGCAGAACAGTAGTTGTGGCTCAAAGTACAGCCCTCAAGTGCAGCACCTGAACATGATGTAAAACAAATGGTAAACATTGTAATCATTTTGCTGTTCTTGACAGTGATGTATGTTCCCTGCATCCAGTAACTGAGCCTCAGTTTGGCTAAGATCACCGCTCAACACACCCTCAAACTGCATGCAGACATCATAAAGGCAAATGTTTGTCTGACTCTGTTGGTACGTGTCCACAGGATCCGTCATTTCCATGCTTCCCATTTAATGTCTGTGTAAGCAGCCTTGCAGTGCATTCTGGTAGCGCTGTGTTGTGTGTTGTGAGAGATGGGGCGTTGGCTCCTCATTTACATAAAGCTGAAACCGTGCAAATCAGAGGCACTGGCAAACATAGAAACTTACCGTTGTTGATCTAACATTAAGTAAGATTCAGCAACTGCATGGCTACTTAATCGCCTCAAATGTTTTCAGAAACACATGTCAGTGAATAATTTCCTAATGCAAGAGAGCTGCCATGTTGGTCCAGCGTGACCCCTCGCATCCAAAGAACGCCCCTGTGGACACGTCCCATAATTAAGTAGAAAAAGTTTTAAAGCCAAACTCTCCCTTTGACCATCACAAAGCAGAACCTCCCTGTTAGCACAGCTCATTAACAAGGACCATTTTTAGCTTCTAATTAACTGTTATACTAACATTTTAACCAGTCTTGTCTCAAGTTATGATTGTGAAATGGATAGTGTGTTACTGGTTGTGTCGCCCTGTTGGCTGCCTAATAACTTTTTCTGTTTTGTGAGTTAGCTCTGTCTTACTTTGGAACAGCTGCGCCCTGTAGTTTGAAACCTATTTATATGCATTCCTCTGAGAAACTGCCTGCTGTGAATCTTACCAGTCAGCACCCCCCCCCCCCCCCCCCCCCCCCCCCCCCCACGCACACTCTGTCGAAGGTACCGGATTTATTGTCGTTAACCAGTTTGTGTTGTGTCGTTCTACGCTCCCCAAAGGCAACCACTCTCGTTGGCGTTCATATTCATCAGCACTCACTCTCGCCAAAACCTGTGCATGTGAAGTATAGTTGTAGTCACGGCAACGACGGTAGCCTCCACAGTCACTTCTGTGCAAGCTGGTGACTACACACCACCACAAATTTTTGTATTTTCCAAAACTAAGTACCTGGTTATGTAGCCTCATGGGTGTTCCCGTGATCACAGGATCCCAAACAGTGCCAGTCATCACTTTTATAAATTTTTTTGAAAAAACAAACAAAAAAATAATTGTTTAGAGATGTTTTTTTATATATCTCAAAACCTATACTGTTTTAAGAACAGAGGAGCGATTATTCCGATGACATCTTTTCTTTGTCGAACGTGTTGATCTATGAACTATAAGGAACAACGGTTTGACTCTGTTTTCTATCTCTGTCTTGTCATACAGAAATCTCGCTTTGTATCTGAATCGAATGACTGAGGTGTGTGTGTTTTGTGCGTATGTGTGTGTGCATTTGTCAGTCTGTGCATGAGCGACTGACGTGACGGGTTGTATTGCCAATTGAATTAGCCCAGTGTTACAGGTCAGGAAAGGCAGAGTCCCACTTGTTAAAAAAAAAGAGAAAATCGCTGCCTGTAGTTGTAGAGAGAGCAGTCGGAGCGTGGAAACACTGTCACTCTCCTCTGGCCTGATATGGTGCATCTCCTCTTTCCTCTTGTATAGAACCACTGTTCCATTTAAAGGAACCTTTTGCCAATATATTCTCCCCACTCGTTTTATGTATGTAACACAGTAATAACATTGATGAAACATTAAGAGATCGCTGTAACCTCTGAACTTTGGCGAGTGTTTGTTTCCACTAGTTACTAACTCTCCTCAGGTTTACGAAACTCAGAGCTGCGTCTTTCCCTTGCCAAGACCGAGGAGACTCAGCCTGAAGTATAAACCACCAAACGGCTGTCTCTCATCCCTGAGTTGGTAATCATATTTATTATCATTTTAGCAAAACCTTCCCAGAAACTTCGGCTCAGTCGGTGTGGTAATGCCACTTACAGGAAGGGCAACTCCTCCACCCAGAAGCCCACAAAGGAATGACTTATGCAATAATGATGTTTCAGCATGCAATAATAACAATAACACCCCCCTCAATAAGCCCATCAATTTATCACAAGTGATCAACGCACATCTGCTGACCTTTTGCAGTGAGACTGCAGTAAAATAAAAACACATATTACAAAGGGAGAACAGTGTATTTTGTACAAATATTTTAAAAGTATTAAAATAAGCCTGTTATATGTGTACATAAAACAGTTGAATGAATGGTGAAAATGTGATGTGTTTTTTTTTCCCCTGGATAACTAAATGAAACCAATATTAATGCAAATGTGGTGTCTGTGTCGTTTGTTGAACATCGCAGTCTGCCTTTAATTTATACACTCATATCAAGAGCTTCATGTTGTTTCAATTAGGAAAGATGTTTTGTTAAAATAATTTAGATGATGGACTCAGGAGGATATTTTTCACAGCGTACATTTTGACTTGACAAAGCCGGAAGAGCTCAGGTTTAATCAATAACATAAATGAATGTGTCCTCCCGGTGCAGCTTATTGGAACAGACTGTTTTTTCTTCCATGACAAAGTTGAACATCTGCTGTTAAAATGCCTACAATCAATTTCAGACAAATGCCTTCTAAATGACGTCAAGCTGTTTCCCAGTGTGGTCCGTCGGCTTTCTTTTGTCTGCCATCGCGTAGAGTGAATCATCTGAATCTTTGCTGGAACAACTTGAGGTGGATGTCATGTTGAGTCGAACTGCCAGAAACTGTTTTCAGACCCTCGTCTTTGTTGCATTTACTGGATACCATGCATGTTCCATTCTGTGTGAATGGAGAAGAACAAAGATCCCATTAGTCGTTCAGAGGAGCAGCAGATATGGAGACATGTTGATAAGTTTGCACTCCAGTACAATAATCTGTGGAATATTAATAGCAGAGTCTCTAACATGGCACACAGGGTTCAAATGTCATTCAAGCAAACCATAGCATAGACCAATGTTTTGTTGCACACTGCACAAGCACACTGAGAATCAATATGTAGCCTCATTGTTGCTGAAAAACAACTCCATTGGGATTCTGGTGTTGACTGTCACGGGACAAACACATGGAGACACACAACCATTCGCTGACATTGGGCAAGAGGCAGGGTTCACCCTCAACCGGTTGCCACATTATCACAGGGCTGACACATAGAGACAACCATTCATGCGCACACTCACACCTACGGGCAATTGAGAGTCACCAATTAACCTGCATGTCTTTGGACTGTGGGAGGAAGCTGGAGTACCCCGAGAAAACCCATGCTGACACAGGGAGAACATGCAAACTCTGCACAGTCTTAGGCGCTATATTGTGGGCAACTAGACTTGACTAGACTGGATACCACAGTGCAGAAGTATTCTGTTCAAGTAAATATACTTAAAGTGCCAAAAGTTAAAGTACTAATTATGCAGGATAATATTAAGGGATTGATAATGGTTATGATGCATCATGTGTACATCACTTTAAAGTTGCTGCTAAGTCGGTATATATCTCAATTATATGCATATTGGCCTACTTTACAGGGCGGTAATTGTCTATTTAACATTGGAGGGACCATTTGGATCCTCACCTCCTGTGACCCAACCCTCCACAGGGGTCTGGTGGGAACAGCTAGACTGACCATGTTAGAGCATTTTGAAAGTTAAATTAGATCAGGAGTACTAAAAGTTTTAAAAGTTTTCATGACTGAGGGCCATTTTACTGAGCCAGAGTATGATTAAGGGCCCCGCAGGAAAAGTGCATGCACTCTGACTTTTTTACAACTGACATACAGTAGGCTATCATTACTTTTATGACCTTTTTGTTATGACTGGCAGAGTGTCAAATCATTTAAAGCTACCTTCAAATAAATCATAGAGGGACTAGGACAAAAACTCTAACAAGATGACATGTAATATTAAGAATGAA